CTGTGTGGCCATATTCTAGAAGAGTTTCTTTCTCACATTTCACCAGCATCTGTGGCTGGCATCTTCAGAGAAAAGACTGAAATAACTGAAATATCTATACAAAAGGATCTTAATACTGTTTACTTGTCCTCATGTGCTCCCCTATACTATGAACTCAAGAAGTTCTGTAATTATCCAGACTATTTTAATAACCTAACATTTGAAAACTTGCGAAAGGCTTTCACTGAACTAAGATTAAATATGATGGACACAGCATACAGAGATGGAAGTATAGAGGTATTCCAACAAAGGGACATACATGTATATACGGTTGCCAAGAAGTAGAAGATCTTGTCCACTACATGTTATTTTGCCCTCTCTATAAAGAACCAAGAGAAAAGTTCATCACAATTGTAATAGAAACCAGCCCTGGTCAGAACCCGCAGGACGTGTTTCTTTACCTTCTATTGGACCTGAACAAATATGTAACCTGGAAAGTAGCTCTGTTTGCTCTAGCAGCTAAAAAAATTAGGGAAAAGTATATTGCAGAGATGGCTATAAACTGCAAAGGTGATGGCTATATTTGATAAACTTTTATTTGATATAATAATGTATAATGTATAACAATAATTATTTTAAATATTAAATTTAGGAATTCTGTATTAGTTATAAGGTGTTGTTTTTTTAATTATAGATATATTTAATCTGCATTGTTACATGCATTGTTGTGTGTATTGTGCAACGACCTTTGGTCAAAAGCAATAAAATTTGATTTGATTTGATTTTGACTTGGGCTGAATCTTCACTGTGGAAATAATGCAGTTTGACAAGCTTTAACTGCCATAGCTTCATGGGATTTGCAGAGCTCTCTGACAGAGAAGGCAAAATATTTCACAAAACTACAAATTTCAGAATTCCATAGCACTGAGCCATGGTAGTTAAAGTGATGTCATTCATGTTTTCTGCAGTGAGTTCTACTACCTCAGATGCATTTTAGGGTCACCATAAGGTGGAAATGACTAATAACTAATTTCGCCTGAACTGAGAGCAAGGAAGGGGAAATTAAAATGTGTGAGAAAGACAGAGTAAGGAAGAATGGGTTGGGGATAAAGGTCACTTTTCAGAGTAATTTTATTTCAAAATGCTGTTCTTCCAATATCCACTTAGCCAAGATAACTCCCATTGAACTCAATTGTTCCTATTTCTAAGGATGGATGGATAGATAGATAGATAGATAGATAGATAGATATTGTTATTGTGTGCCTTCAAGTCATTTCCAGCTTATGGCAACCCTAAGGTAGACCTATCTTGGGGTTTTCTGGGACTGAGAGAATGTGACTCATCCAAAATCACCCAGAGGGTTTCCATGACCAAGTAGAGAATGAAACCCTGATCTCCAAAGTCCTAGCCCTATGCTCAACCACTACACCACTACATCATGGCCCTCATATAGGACTGACTTTCTAAAAAACTTAAAGGTGTCAAAGATTTGTGGTTTGCTGTGACACCAGAGCTTTGTGACAGAAAAGGTAAAGATTACAAAATACAGAAAATACACAGAACAAACTACAAATTCCAGAATTCCATAGCACTGAGACATGGCAGTTAAAGGAGTGTCAAACTGTATTATTTCTGCAGCGCGTATGCAGCCATCACCAGGGATTAAATCTCTGGGCATGGAATATTCCTGAATTGCCAACCCTTCTCTCAACCTGTCATGATGACTGCAACTCTCATTTTAAAAAAAAAAAAGTTAAGACCATGAAGAAAAAGAAACAGAGCAGGGGCAGAGATTGTCAAAGGAGAAGTGTTCTTCTATACAAAGGTAATCTGAAAATAAAAATGTAAGTGGTGTTGGGGGAGAGCGTTAAAAGGGAAGTGAAAATATAAGCCAGAAGCAAAAGTTCCTCTTTGTGGCATTGTTCTGCTTTGTTTTCAACAAAACCTCTGGTTGTAAAATTTAATAAAGCATAGGCTTATATACTTAGAAGGAAGTCCCATTGTGCTCAGTGAGACTTACCCCCAGGTAAGCATGCATCGCATTGCGGCCTTACGCTGGTTCCAAAGACCTCAGATAAGCTTGCCTGACTTGTGGCTGACAAAACTTGGTTCAGTGGCCATGCATGACAGATGCGGTTGCAAGGGCTAGAATAAACCTTTTCTAGTGCAGAAGCCATCAAATATCTGCCATTCTTCAGTTGCCTTCATTCGCCTTGTTAAACTACATGATGCGCAGATACAACATGAGTTTTCCTTATATAGAGTCAACTCAATGGTCCATCAAACTGGTTCCTATCTATAGTACAGGGGTGGGGATCATGTGGTCCTCTCTTGTAGTCTCCAAAATTTGACAGATGGCACTATTACTTCCCTTGATCCAGACAC